TGAATGACGATCGTAAATGATGCATATATCTTGTGCTGCAGTTGTTTCAGAAATTAGGCGCATACTTTAACGCTTTGACGCACTGAACTGAAGTATCACGGCAGGGTAGGGCAGGACCGTCATCGTTTCACACAGACAACCCAGTGCTTGCGAAACTGCTGTCTCCTGCTTGCTGATGTGGCACTGTGTGCCCCCGTAATGTCCTTCATTCAACTTTACCGTCAACAAAGTAGATGTTTCCTCTGAGCCTCGACTAGAACTTTATGGTCTGACGTTTATGCATACAGATTCGAACACGTATAGTATTTTAGTGCTGCTTTTTTGAATGAAGAATTTCTTCTAAAATATGCCCACCTGCAACCCGCTGAACAACAGACGTGACAAACGAACCTGTCACTTAATGGTCGAACAATTTTAGGGATGAAGATGCTAGAAACGTATCAGAACATAGCACTCTTGAGACGCCTTCCTGTTGAAATCGCTTCTTCCCTCCAACTCTACAGTTCAAGATGGCGATAACCTAAGCACTCATTGAGGATGCCTGAAAAGGAGCTCACAAGATGAACTCTCTTCGCAAAGCCTCATTGCAGAAGATCACGGATCAGACCGATGGGCAGATGGATTAGTAGTGCCTCGGAATGCAGCTCATGGAGTTTGCTGATCGGCATGGGATGATTTCTATCAGAAACACTTCTTGAATTTATTCTCATTGCAGAAAGGAATATCGTCCTCTGAGATGGAAACACAGATGATGAAAGTACGGCTAAACCACAGCCACATAATGGCCATTCAGTCACACGATCTACTGACTATAGCTGATCATGTTGGGATGCCCGTTATAAGAGGTCAACGAACAAGCGTACTTGCAGGGCCGTCCTCAAAGCCTCTTGAAGGTGAGTCAGGGAAATCCGGAAATAAAGTATGAATGATTGCTATCCAGACGATCGTTCCTTGGTCACCGGCCAAAATTTATTCAGCTCTTGTAGTAGATTTCAGGATATGTCTTCCAAACATATTAGCCAGTATTGGAAAGACATGCGTTTCAGCGTTTTCAAAAGAATTATAACAAATTCTGGAAGCGTGTTCGATGGGTTCTGCTAGCCAGCAGGTTGCGGTGGGTCACCCCCGCATTTTATTTCTAAAAGGTCATCTTCAATACAGTGCACCGGGACACGGTGGCAGTGTTTTGCTTAGATATTGATCAAATTTTAAAGTAAACTGAATTTTCAAAAATAATTTTTACCAGTCGAGCTTTGATCGAAAATCGGCAATGAAAGGACGAAGTGTTATCGCGCGTTCTAAGACTCTAATCGTAGTAATGTCAGGGATTATCTTAGTCCAGTGATCCAAAACAATCTCAGCCAAATCTTAGCCGATGTGCCAATCTGGAATGGAAAGCTCTGCCTGGAGGAAGGTACGATCCTTCAGCCAGCGAAGCCTTCCAAATCACTGAACGAGCATACGCAAGTTCCGTCAGAAGTAGAATTCAAAAGAAGAATTATGTTTGCAGTGATACTGTATGCAGGAAGATCAGCCTGACCATAAATGAACTTTCGAATTTTTGAGAAACTTCGCGCAGTTTGCTCTAAGTTTAGAGGAATGCACCTGAGGCCGGTGAAAACATGCTGAAGATATCTTAGACTTGGAATCTCGAGCGGAGGAAGGACAAAGCGTAGAAATTGGGCAGAAATCTGCCAGAAGTAATGCGGAAATTGAGCCG